GGCTACGTTCAAATTGTGTCCACCTCAATTCCTGGCAGTTTGCTTCCTGCTGCTGCACTGGCAAGTGTCAGTGGATTCCGCATTTAGTGAGACACACTGTATGAGACCGCTGACAAGATGATGGAATAATGCGCCTGATAATTGCTACAATACATACACTCCATGTACAGCAGGTATGGGTGGTTGATAATGACCCATTATCACTCCAAATGAGGATTTGTCTGAGAAATAAACGAATAATAACAGAACACAAGTGAAAGGAAACAATGAAGAATTGGGAAGCAAGAATCTTATATCCTTTTCCGTCCTCAAATATTAATACTCTACTGTTTTTTGTTAAAAAATATATATGTAAAGGCCAAAGAGCTGATTACTTATCAAAAGTACTTCTTTCTGGGTACGTTGCATTAAAAGAGTGAAGATCAGTCTCATATATAATAATATATTTAAAATTAAAAATACAACACAATTAAATATCAAACAATTTAATGAAAAAACAATCATATACACATTGAGTCAAAAGTATGCTTCCAAACTATGTGTGTATTCCTCGATCAAAAATAGGAAAAAATGTTTTTATGAACATGTGGCTTCAAAAGCATATTTTTCAAAATAACAGCTAAATATAAGTTTCAATGTATGCAATTATTGCCATGTATAAGGACAGGGATGTTTCTTTGTAACAGATGCTCAAAGGTTGCTCCTCCATTCTCAACACATGCCCAAGCACAATGCACACAACAGGGTTTCTTCGAATCATCAGGCACGCATTCTGCCAGTACAATCACATACCTTGTAAACATACTTTTGACTCACTCTATATACATGAAAAGGCTACATAGCTTATTACTTACAAAGAGATTTAAGAACCATGTACTTCTGGGTATATGGCATTAAAGAGTAAACATGAGTCTTATCTAACTATATACACAGTGCGGCAACTGGAAAACGGGACTGCTGCTGGAAAAAAATTATGGTTCCATGTATGAGCAATCTGAGCATTGTATATTCAAAGTAGCTTTCTCCTGCACCTACACGCTACACACAACGACAATGAAGCAAATGAGAGGAATGGCGGATGGCCGTGTCTGGAATTCTGTTCAGTACTCTCATTACAGCCCTTTAAATGGTGTACACGTTATCAAATAACAGCCTTTCAGTGGTGCTTTGAGTTTTGGAAACAAAAATAAGTCACACGGTGCTAAGTCTGGTGAATATGGTTGCTGCGATAATACACAGACTTTTTTGGTGACCAAAAACTCCCTAACAATGAGAGCCTTATGGCTCGGCACTTTGTCTTGCAACAGGAACCAACTTCCGTCTTCTCGATACTGAGGCCATACACGACGGATTCTCTGAAGCAAACGTTTCAAAATGTCCAGATAGTTGGCAGCAGTAACTGTCTCGCCACTGGGTATGAACACTTTGCGCACAATTCCCTCACTGTCGTAGAAAATGGTTATCATTGTTTTGATTTTTAATCTTTCTTGACTTGGGGAGAGTTTGCCGACTTCCACTCCGCAATTTGTAGCTCTGTTTCGGGGTCGTACTGGAAACATCACGTCTCGTCACCCGTAATGATCGAATTCAGGAAGTTGGGTTTGTTTTCAGT